TTGGGGTAAGGGATTAGGGGTATGGAGTGTTTTATTTTGGTTTTAAACAGACCCCTTGAAGGCAACTCCAGAGAAGCAAGGGGAAGGGGATGCTGGAGGGGTGTGAATGGAGAGGGTGGCTCCTTGGCAACCCAGGATAACCCACTCCTCTCCCTGCAGGCACAGTGCCGTGTCCCTCGTAGGAAGGGGCTGTATTGTGAGAGGGAGGTCCCTATCACCCCAGGCTTCAGAAGAAAGAGTTTTGAGGATACTCGTGAACCTGTGGTCCAAAGCCATTTCTAGTATTTCTGGACAGGAGATGAATTTTCTTGGGGAGGTTTTAGCAAACCAGCAATGTACGGGCTCTGTGACTAGGGGGTGCTCAGCGAGGCGAGAGGTGCAGGGAATGCATTCAGAGGAGGCTACCAGGGTTGGAACCACGTCACCTGGGGCTCTTGGGCGATCCAAAGGAAAAATCGCACGAGGGTGCATGATGGGTAACCACAGGAAATGATTCCAAAGCAAGCGGCCAACCTTCCCCTGCCTGCTGGCCTACCAAAAGCAGGGATGAGGGGCAGCAGTGTCCCAGGCTGCAATATAGGGGGAAGAGGAGCAAAAGGCCACTGATCCCTATGGAACGTGCACTCTTGCATTCTCGAGGCATGGGAAGGGACCAGCCCAGCCCTAAGTCCCCATGTAGTAAATCTCTTCCCCTTTGCCTCCACTTCCCCAACCCAGCCATTCAGTCTCCCAACCCTCACAAAACAACTCTGGGGGGCCAGACCTACACACCTCTGCTTGGCTGTGATGGTTCAAAAGGCACTGTCCACCGGTGCAGCAAGGACCCTGCGAGTGTCTCGGTTTTTCTTCAAAGGAAACAAGCTGGTAGCCCTGTGTCCTTCCTGGGAGATACTCTGGTTGTTTCTGAAAGCGTTCTCCTCCTCGACCCACCCCGCTCTGTTGAGGGCAGCTGGGGCTATGGGACTATGTCACGGTTTAGGGGTGAAAAGAGGATGTCAGGAGTGTTACAGGAGTTAAACCAGAGATTAATTTGGTGTACTTTTTTCTGCTCTGGGGATGTCATCACCCATGCCTTGCCCTGTCACCCAGCTCAGGTATTTTGTTCCCTTGCTAATTCTTCAGCAAGAACGTTAAGGTGGCTAGAAGACAGGCAACTGGTAAGACCACCTATTTCCAAGGAGCCTGTCCTTAACTTAATCACTTTTGAGAGTTTTTTTTCATGCATTCATTTGGGGATAGGCTAATAGAAAAAGGGAGTTTCTTCAAAATGGGGCTAGTGCTAAGGAATTTAAAGGTCGCCGAGTCACTGTATGACAAGAGAGCATTTGGAGAGCACACGACACAAGATCCCCTACATCAAACTTTCGTTTAGCTCAGAAGCAGCAGGCTGCCTATGGCACTGGTGGACTCATTGAAGATCTTCATCTTGCTGGTATGGAAGTGAGAAACAGCACAGCTCATAATGGCAGCGGGATGAGGTGTTTTCCGCGCCTCAAAGTCAATTTCATAAATAAAAAAGCACTCCAGGGAAACAGCTGTTTGAGATAACTACTATTATTGAGTGCTGGAGGCATTTGGCCTTCAGCCTTCTTCCTTGCTACACATGAGAAGAACTGTTATCTCCCGTCCACCATACAGAGCCTGCTTTGTTATTCCCTTTTGACTCACTAGCTTTTAAAGCACAGCCTCATTTTTGCTCACCTAGGAGACAGACCTTGATCAAATTTAATTCAAACCCAGATAAATTAAAAAGGCTGGGATATGCAAGAGGCAATGATTTTTCGGGTGATATCTTTTATTGGACCAACTGCATAATTGGGATAGAGTTAGACAAGATATTCTTCAGATCTGAGGTTGGACTAGTGAGTTAAGTCACCAACAACCCCTGTAAATTGTGGGTACATGTTTCTTGTTTACCATGCACTGCTTTAATGTAGGAAATGGCTCATTTGCAAGTTAAAAGTTTAATTAGGAGGGGGGAAAAAAAGGTCACCATAGATCAGATGTGAATTGCAAGTGCTAAAGAAGTTTATTGCAGCAACATATTTATTGAGTCATGCTATAGATCTGCTGCCCATATGCCTAGAATGCTAAACAGCATCACATTGAATTCCTAATATTAACAGAAAGCTTATCTATAATACATGGGTTGTTTTAAAAATATTTGGCACCTACTTTCTATGATAATCAAATGACTTTGCCAAGACCCAGAGTCTTCTTCACTCATCCAGCTAATTGCAGATAATTCTTTCCAGATAATGTTTCCAGAATGCCACACAATTCAGCTTGCCATTTCCATCTCCCATCCACTGCTCTTGTCTCTCTCGCTTTGCACGTACAACATATATTACACCTGCCTCTCAGTTACGTGCCGGTGAAAATAATGTGAGCTGCATCAGGAACACAAATGGGATGACAATTCGTGGCATCTCTGCTTCACTTTACCATATTCTAGATTATTTTTATGGGCATACCAACTGCAAATGTAAAAGGCTACATAAAAGCTATCTTAAAGCCAATGAGACCAATGGTAATGTGATTGCAGGAGGTTTAAGCTACTTTGAAAGATACTGCCAGGCTGGCCCAAGGCGGTATCGCCTGAAGTCAGAAACACTTCAACCTTTGAATGTAGCAATCTGAATCTGACAGCTGTTCAACTCTGAGAGTATTTGTTTTGAGGACCTTTTGGATTCTTTTTCTGTTATAATGAAAAGCTTAGGAAATGTTTCAAGTTGCTATTACAAACTGTGAGCTGCAGAAGGAACAGTAGCATTTTGCATTGCTTAAGATGATGGAAGGTAACAGACTCTACTAGCTGATAATATTCTCTGGCACTCTGCTGCCCTTTGATATTGTACTAGACTTGACAGTCCTTCGTATGCATTTGTCGGAGATCTGACAAGCTTTTCTCCTGCTTCTCCCTTACTTAAGATATAATTTTGGGGGATTCTCATCAGTGAGGATTTATATTTATGCTGCTTCTGCAGTTTTGTTGCTATCTTCTTTCAGCTGGCTGAAGCCCTTTTGGAAGAAACCAGTACTGTAGGGCAGTGGGGCTCAACTTATTTAGCTCCACAGGCCAGATCCAGCATGTTGGGGTTTAGTGGACAAGGCAGATCCAGTGCACTGGGGTTAGTGCAGGCTGGCCCAAGTGCACATGTCTGGATTCGGCTGTAGTTAAGGCTACTACCACGCCCAAGCCACCAGACCTGTGGGGAGACCCATGGACCAGATGACATAGCTCCATGGATCATACTTGGCCCACTGGCCAGAGGCTGAGCACCACCACTGTAGAGGTTCTAATAGTGGTAAAAATCAGTGGCGGCAGGGTCCACTTAGAAAAGCAATAGCCTCCATGACTCTACTATTAATGATGCTGCATTGTTGAATCTATTTGTACCAGTGCTAGACAGATCAAGAAAGCAACAAGAGAAAAACCTGAACAACCTGTAGTTATTTGGTGGCTGTTATTAAAACAGCATTGTAACAAGGACAGGTTATGGGGCCAGACTGTCAACCAATGTAAATCACCATAGCATTGTTCACTTAATGATTTGCATCAGAAGAGCTAACCATATTCATCGTATTGACTTAACATGAGGCACAGTAATTTTCTTGAAGATAATTAAATACCGTGAGCAACAGGCTGAGGTTAGGAAAGGCTCTTCTGTATTCTTGGGAGCTTAATCTCTTCAGTTTCAGCAATGCAAGATTACTACCTTTAATGCAAAGCCAATGCAAGATTTACCACCCTTTAATTTTGGTGGTATGCAGAAGGTAAAGGAATCACAGAACTTGGGAGAAACAGAGAAGGGCTGCAGAAGGTTGTGTTTATTTTCAAAGACTTGCTAATGCTCCAGTCTCCCTATATAGAACAATAGCTAGAATGATGTAATGCCAGAGACAAAGGGTGACATGAGGATAAGAGGCTCTTTTATGCTGCCTGGTGCATTCAGCCACTGTTACATCTATATATGGCCTTTCATCACAAATGAGATGATGGATAGACACAGCACCACCAAAAAGCGGAGCCCTGGACTGTGGTGTGATACTTCCCCAGCCCAATAGTGAGAAGATCCAATGACCCTGGTTATGTCCTTATTCTTTTAAAGCAGTTTCTTAACCTGTGGTATGTGAGACACAGGCAGAGGGTATGTGGGTACCCCAACACACACTCTCTCTCTCTCGCCCTCTTTTCCTTTCTGTTTCGCCCCTTCCTCCTCTCAAAACTATGGCAAAAAAATCAGTACTCCCCACACTGTGTGGCGCTTTAAATTCCCCAATAATAATTTAGTTCAGCCCTCCTAGCTTCGGCCAACATCACCTCTAGCCCAGGTACATACTTGAGTTGTGCACCTCTGGTGTAAAAGGTGGCAACCCTACCCATACCAGATCAGACATCTGTCATATCATGGCCCTTCTTCCAACATATGGCACACACATTAGTCTGTAAACATAAAATCCCCTGGAAAATTGAATGTTGGGGTACTTATTAAAATTTTAAGAAGTTAGGGGGTACTTGCTACTTAAAAGGTTGAGAAACACTGTTTTAAAGCACCAGCTATAACACCTTCAATATTAACACAGAAGGGATTTTTTTAAAAGATATCAGCTGAAAAACCTGTAACAAGCTCCCTGGAGCTCAACGTAACTACCTTAAAGTGGAAAAGAATTAGGCTCACACTGCTGAGATTTGAACAGTGGGTTCCAAAGTGCTCAGCTTAAAGACTTGAAATACCCAAACCACAGCCATGACTCCCTGATATGATAAAAGTACATATTTTAGATAAAATACTATTTTTCTAGTTGATTATCTCCATGGAGCCAGTCATATGAGCAAGAAACTTGCTCATGTCTCCATTAATCTTGAGTCTGTTGGGGAATCATAACAGTTCTGACAAGTATATATCATGTTTGACATCATCCAAAGAAACTTTTTATAAGTTGTCAAACTTCCAAACAGAGCACGAAGTTCACCTGCTGATTTAATTGACTTGTGCTTTTTTTTTTTTTAATCTTTCTTTTTTTTTTTTTTTTTTTAAAAAAAAGGGCCTTTAAAAGGTAATTTGGACAAGTAACTTCTGTAGGTCTACCTGTGTAGACTCAGTAATTTTAGCAACAAAATCAGTGCAGCTCGTAATGTGATCTGTATAAATGCTGAGACCTATGGCGTATTCATTATTTTAATAGCACTTATTGACGTAAGGTCAAAATTCTTTTTTCCAACTCTTTTTTATTTAGGGAAGAGCCTTATGTCACAATCTCATGCTTCATCTAATTGGATAAGTGTTTCCTTTGTCCTTGAAACAGCAAAGTAGAATGCGTACCCAAGAGCTATAGAATGGAAAAGCATCTGCCGTTTGTATTTGGCACGCCTCAATTAAAAACTCACTGCTTCTGCTATAATTTTTTGAATTCTGACCAGAGTACTTCTGCTGAGATTCAAATGGACAGTTCTGAAGGTTAAGCTAGGGGTACTTAAAGAATTTTCTACAAAGCATATTGTTGTCTTGCACATAACAGAATAGGGTTCCTGATCCAGGAAAGTACTTGCATATATGTTTAAGCATTTAGTGAATAGTCTTCTTGAAGTTAATGGAACTACTCAAATACGTGCTTTATTTTAAACGTGTACATGTACTGAAGTTTAAGTCCAGTTCTAGATATGGGAAGAACAAAGCTAATGTTCAGTACAAGCATCACCTTCCACCTTAAATGAGGTATCTTGGGTAGATCCTTCAGATTTGCTTTATTTAGAAGCTATTTCATTGTGTCAGAGATGTAATGGGAAGGTTATATGCCCAGCCTTCAGAATATCAATACATAAATGTGAAATGAAGCAGAAAATGGTAAAATACCAAATGATAACATGGCCAAAAAAACCTGTTGAGTTTCTTTTAATCAAATACAAAAACTTTATCACACCCATTTTATAGGTACAAGGTAGAGAAATAAAAAGAAAAGACTTTCATGAGATTTGGCAACTGTACTCACTACTTTAGGTGCTGCTGTTCTACTCCAAGAGCTACACTATGGACTCTAGTTTCCAGTTGTGACCTATTCCCTTTCCCCATTATATCCATTTCTAAGCTCATTCCATAGGTCTAATTTACTTTGGGAATGCATATGTTTATACCCTGGATAATGTTTCCCAGAATACTGCTTGATCAAAATAGGTTAATTTCCTTGCTATTCCCCACTAAACAATTCTTCTTGCATTTATCTCAATCTGCTTTGCAAAAGATTGTGATCTTTGCTCTTAAATACAAACCTCAGCAGTTACTCATGCCTCCCTCACCTCCAGTATAGCTTAGTCATCCCTATATCACCTGCAGAATAGCTTACGAGGGTTACAGCTGAAAAGCACTTCGAAACGTCAGGTTGCACACAGTAGGGCTGCATGCTTATAAAGTGACACTTTTCACTGCAAAAATGAGACTAATGTACCACAGCTGTTTCTGGATGCAATTTAAGCTGCTGGTTTATAGAGAAAATCCTACATTGTTTCTACCTTCACAGGGGACTGCTCCTGAGTTACCATGTGAAATGGGAGAGAAGTTGGGGCAAGTTATCTGGAACAAGTTATCTATACTGAAGTTCACTTCCCCAACTTGGTTCACGAGTCAGCTGATCTTATTGATACGTGGCATAATTTACCATTTGCGCACAGGTTTTTGCCTGAAGTAAAACAGTCTTTGGGATTTCTGAATGACACTAAGATCATTCTTTTCTTGTGGAAGTAATTCATAGTTGCTCAATTGATTTTGAGTCAGCATGTTAATTGTTTAAATTTGTCATCATGTAATAATGTGTACTGGTTCAGAATGCTTTTAGATATTAATATGCAGATCATATATTTCCTCATCACCTATAATTCTCTTCTGCATTGTTTCATTGCATGTCTAAAGTAACCACACTTCAGTAGATACACTTTAAAGAGATTTCTTTATCATTTAACTTTATTACAGTAGGCGCAGCCTGGACACTGTTAGAGTGACAAGGACTATTTCCTTAATTACTGTACATTGATAATAGCATTTACTCTGGCAGCTCCAGTGCTATTCAATCAAGTAAGATTCAATACAAAAAAAGCTGATTTGCCAAAAAAGAGATTAGCATAAGTGCCTACAGTCACTTTCTATTTTTGAAGGTAAAGCTACTATATCTTGTGAGCACTTCTTGTGGGATTTTTATGGAAAAAGAAACTGGATTATTCTCCTCAGAGATTTCGGGAAATTGCATTTAGAGATGATTTTTAAACTAACCATATTTTTAAAGAGGATATAATCAAAACAAACATTTTAAAATAATTTATAAAAACTGGGTTTCAAAGTATATGGCAGCAGAAGGAAAGTGTAGTTACGGCTTTCTGTGGACATAGGTGTCTGTTATGGAGAATTCCGCACTGCCCAATTTTGTTTTGCTGCACTTAGTCAATTGACCAAATAGTAACTGAAGCTGCTGCTTTTCAGAATTAAATGCCATTATTTACAGTAGCTCTTGCTCTAGTTAGAAAGCCACACTTCAGCACTATATTTATTTGTAAGCATAAGATTAAATAATGGTGAACTGAAATTAAAGCAAATCTTTAAAAAACCCAAAACCTTAAGAAATGCAGTAAGTGGACATTAATCACTAGGCAGGCATAATCAGGTTTTAAGATGACTTGGCCCCTACCAGCACTTTTGCATGTGAGTAGCTTTACTCCTGAGAAAAATCCCACTAAAGTTACTTTACTACACGTGCTTACAAGAGCTGGCCTATATTATGCCTAAGCTAAAATGGCCACTGCAGAATTATTTTGCCCTGGAGGACACTTGAGAATTATAAATCATCCTCTTGTATCCCAAAAACATGTAGGTGGCCAAAGATCTACTTTTCAATCTTCTGACCCTGGCTGCTGTCTATTATGGTGACATCAAAATCACAGACAAGCAGTTATCACCAAAGATGGGCCTGCTAAAACCATGGAGCCAGTATCATCCCATGGGACAAAGCTCGTTGGCTGAGTGACACGTTTAGCAACCACAAATCCAGACTCTGAACACTAGTTCATCCCTACTCTTATTTCAGCACTTGCACAATGGGCTTACTTTAAATGAATGCTGCAATAAAATTGCCAAGTAGATAGCGACATATCCATAGATATGCAATTCACTGTAACAAGGTAATTTAGTTAGGCACTTGGAAAAACTAAAATGTTTCCCCATTTAACTTAATGCACACACAAGCCCCCAAATATAGAGCTGAAGACAAGTTTAACATTCTCCTCAAGCTCATCTTAAACAGGACTGAAAAAGAACTCCAAGAGACATGGTTAGTGCAAGATGATTGAACTCTGGAGGTGGGAAGAAGGCAGAACTGGAAAACAGGGTAGATGTCCATGCTGCTTTTCAAGAAGTAGCAAGAGAGAAAAAAATTCTACAAACCTTTCATTCTGAATGTAGAAGAGGGACAGTGATGTAACTGTTCCCAGGGAACAATATTCTTATTTTGTAGAAGGAGGTGAGCCAAGATACTTAAGCTCTAGAGAACCTTTAACACAGGAAGCTATTTATCATAACAAGCTTGGTTGATACTGCTCCCATACTGAACCAATTAGATTAGCCTATTTCGTCATACTTCATAACTTGGGATGATAGGTTTCCAAGCATGGTACAGTGCAGTAATTGAATTTTGATCAAACACACATGGCCCATAACCCAGTATGTGAAACTTTCAGAACAGTTCACAGCTTTTAAATATCCAGTCAACATGTTGCCAAAAGTACAGGATGTACTTGATGCAAGTGGGAGGGGGGAGGAGAGAGGGGGAGACAGAGTCCAAGCTGTAACTTTGTACAGCTGTTAAACAAACATTTTTTTGTTCTGATTCTGTTCCTACTCTAGCTTAAGAGCTAAGGAGGAAGACTGTGAATGTCAAGTAAGCCACTTCTCTCCTCAACTCCCACTTAGCTTCTAACATTTTGAGATTACTAACATGCTTTTAAATTCACAATAGTGTATCAGATACCAGCAACAGTGCTTGTTACCATGGCATTCATTGCTTCTAATCACGTAACAAAATAACTTAGAAGTGGCACACATTGTCCTCTTAATACAGCCACAGTGGATGACATGTCATGGAATGGTAGCCCTATAATAAGGGCTCCCCCTTTTCCGCAGACACGTATTGTTTCCCCATGCAGTCCACAGGGTCTAGCAGTCCTGTTCCCTTTGGGCTATGGGACAGTCAGTCAGTTCCTTAGCAGACAGTGGCCTCCCATTACAGGTTTTCAGGACTCTTTCCTCAGTCAACATAGGGGATTTGAAGTGAATTCTATGAAAGGAAAACAGAAAATATTAACAATTTCAATTCCTTGCTTTATGTATCCATTTGGGAGCAAAACGCTAGGCATAAGCGTCCAAAGCCTTCCAAATTTAAAGAGCAAAATGGACTTGGTTTGTTAGTTTAAAAAATAACCAGTCTGATGATGCAAATTAAAGCTGCAATCTGGCCTAAAACTAGCCCAAGCCAGGGTCAAACCCATGCCAGGGTTTAACAGAGCACTATTTTCCCCAACCTACTAGTATCAGTAGTACTACATGACCAGAACCTCTTGTTCAGTGTTGCATACTCAGACCTGCAGGACAGCTTGAGCTGCTTCAATTTCCTGTTTCAAACAATTACATACAACTGAAGAGAGACACCATGCAACTAAAGCAAGGTTTCAACTTTTTTAACTAGTCCACATACCCCAAAAGGTGGGGACTGCAGTTATGGGCTTCCAAAGAGAATGTGATCTTGTACTTTATTCCAGTACCTCTAATTTCACTCTATGGATCCCCTGCCTCGGAGACTTCTCACACCTTTTTA